AGCGTAATATCACATGAAAGTAAAAAACATGATTCGAGTAAACAAACATGATATGCCAACATACCACGTGTCACCCACCACAACTTAGCTCATGTGGGGGGAGCTCGGCTGGGCAAAGCCCAGGTCCCGGGCTTGAATCCCATGGGTGGCCATGACAGTCTTAAGTGTTGGCCTGGACAAATTGGTGTGGGTTGCCTGCTAGGTCAATTGGGGTTTACTTGCTGCTTTGCGGAGTGGTTCCTCGTCACAAAAAAAAACCCACGTGTCGCATCTGTCAAGCACATAGTTAATATTAAAACTATGGCTAACAACATATATGTGTCAAAATCAACAAGAAGCATATGTGTCAAAAGCAATATTAAGCACTTCCATTAATATGATATCAAGAATACAAAAGTATAACAAGAAATAATATTTTTTTATTTTAAATATTTGATAATATTCTTTACACCCCTTATACCATCATTTATTCATATTTCATCTTTGCCTCTTATACCTTCACTTGTTTACATATGTTCAAATGTATTGTACGTATAGATGAATAATTATATAATCACAAAGGCCATTGTACCTTCACTTTAATGTGGATAAAATATAGCTAACCAACCACTTACATTTTTTTTTTTTTTTTTTTTTTTTTTTTATTTTTTTTTTTTTTTTTTTTGCATAGACATCTATTTCAAAAACACTAGCAAAAAAATATCAACAATTTTGACATATAACAATATTAGATAACATGTTAAAAAAGTTTATAAAAAATTTTCTATGTATGATATAAGGGGGGTAAATTAGTTTACAAAAGTCAACAGTTATACATCACAAGCTTATTTATATGCTACATCCACAACATCTAAAATCACTTATTTTCTATAAGAATTTCTATTGGATTCTATACATTCACTAAAATATATAATATGGTTCACAAAATAGACACCAAAAGATTTAAAAAAAAAAAAACAGCTTTTACAAAGGTGTGCTAATTTCTTAAGGAAGACAAATCACATGCCAATAAGATTTTCATATTTGCATTATTACAATGCTCATTAAAATAGGTAAAAATATATAAAATATAGTTGAAATGGCCTAAAATGTGATGAAGATGGTTTATAAATTGAACATAAAAGAAATCTAAAAATTTAATTGAATACACTAACGTCGAGATCAACACATCATAATTCTCTCTTAACTAAACTCATAATAACAAATGGCAAATAATTCATGTAGGTGATTTGATTGTTAACTATCTTTCATTGGACTAGCAAAAAACAAGTTAATGTCATCATTCAACAACAACAACAACAACAACAAATTATAGCACAAGCAATCAAAATGCATCAATTTCTTCCATTGCCCTTTTTAAAGTCAAGGCTTCGTTTGAGACAACTTTCTTAATTATTTCTAAAATAGCTTCCTAATATAAAATTTCTAATTCAAAAATTTTTTTGTATTAAAAAGTAGCTTTTAAAAGTAGTATGAAAGTTGTCCCAAACAAAACATAAAAATCAACTTGGAGATTTAAAATTAACAAACTTATCTAATGTCATCATTCCATTTTTCTTATACTAAATGCAAGAAAATTGAAATAGCAATTTCTGATATGTGCTTACGATGAAAGAAATCAAATGGAACATATTAAAAATTAAATAAATCTTCTTTCATTTTTATTTGATTTAAGGACAATGTTGTTATAAAATGATAAGAAACATGAATTTCCTTGACCAAAAATACTTAACCAACATTTAGTATTTATATATCATCAAAAAATAATGATGATCAAGCACGAATCTTGAGGCAAATTTGAGTTGGAAACTTTCAAAATGAAATCTGGGATCATACGAACTTTGATTTTAGGAAACTTATAATCGAGTTGAACGTCTTGAAAAGATGAACCCAATCACACTAAATTCGACCCAATCGAGCCAGAATGGGTCTAAATTGAAGACCTGAAGTGCATTTGGAAGGTTCAAACCATAAATTGGATGACCAAACAATTCTACATGTGACATGCTTATAATAAAATCGAGCGGCTCGACGAGAGGAATCCAACGAGCCAAGATTGCCAAATTTTGGTATCATTAAGACACTCAAATACTCAATAAATGATTCACGATCATGAGAGTCGATATGTCGGTCCATTCAAAACACTCCCAACATGCCCTTGATTTTCTCCTTATTTACTAGTCATGTCACTCCCAAAAAATTATAAATAAACCCCCTTATTCTTCATTGAGTGGGACCAAGAAGAAAGAGAGGAAAAGAAGAAAAATCAAAGTTCTCTTACCACCAGACTCTTCCTCGCCTACCACCCGGCTAGGGCTGTCAATATTGGACCCGACCCTAAAACCAGACCCGAACCCGAAGCGGGTCGGGTTCGGGTTGACACGGAAACCCGAGAATGACCCGAAAAATGACTGCCCCTCATTGCCTGTCCCGGCTGCCCTATCTGCCCGCTGCCCCATGTTGCCTGCCCCGACTGCCCACTCCCCGCGTTGCGTGCTCTGGTTGCCCATGTAACCGTGTGGTGATGTGGTCTACGTCGAATCACATCGGGCCAAGGGTCGCGTCACTGCCTGTGCTGCTACGCGTGATGTACGTTGCCTGCTCGAGTCATGTCGATGCCTGCAAGAATTGCCTGCACCGCTGCCCCCTGGTGGGCCGCTGCCGTGTCTTGTTGTCGGAAAATGCTGGAGGACCTAACCCAAAGCGGGTCGGGTCGGGTTGACCCGAACCCAAACCGGGACGGATCCGGGTCTGAAAAATTGACCTGTTTATAAAAATGGGTTAGGTTGACCCGAACCCGAATAGTATCGTGTCAGTTTCGGGTTCGACCCGAACCCGACCCGTGATCCAAAATTGACACCCCTACACTCGACCACCAAAAGTCGTTGGATTTTTGTCAGACTTCCGCCCGGCCATTAATTGTCATTGAAATTCCGCTTGACCACCAGCTTTCGCCAAACTTTCATCTAGCCACCAACTGATGCGGGTTTTATGCCCAACCACCAATTGATGCCGGATTTATACTCGACCACCAATTGTTGTCGGACATCCACTCGGCCACCAACTAATGTCGGATTTATGCCCGGCCACCGACCATCACAGGACTTTCACAACCACCAGTTGTCATTGGACTTCTGCCTGACCACCAACTGATGTCTAATTTATGCCCTGCCACCGACCATCGTCAGACTTTCGCAGAATTTATGTCTGGCCACAAAAAGTCACCCAGTTATGATCTTTCTGACATCCATCTCCCACCAACTACAATCCTTAAGACCAACGTCGTCTGACTAAGGTCTTTCCAACCTCCATCTCCCACTAATTACAGTCCTTTCGACCACCTTCATCGGACTACGGCCTTTTAGACCTCTACCATCCATTGACTACGGTCCTTATGAACACCATCGCTCGACTATTGTTTATCCAACCTCTGTCTCCTGTTGACTATATTCCTTCCAACCACGTCACCAGATTATGATCTTTCTAACCTCCGTCACATACTGACTATGATCTATCCGACCACCATCTCCAGACTTTGGTCTCTCCAACCGCCATCGCCCAGTTACGACCTTTTTGACCTCTGTAGCCCGTCGATTAAGGTTCATGAGACCACCATCATTCACCAACTATGGTCGTGCTGACCAAACGAACATGTCACTGATTATTCCAACTCTCACTATGTAATGCACATTATATGTTGTATATTTGTTGCATCGAGCCAAGACCTTCTCCACAAGGAAGGGTCTCATTTGTAATTAATTATAAATACTAGTTGTTTCATTTAAACTGGGTAAGGCCTCATGATTTTTCCCCTTTTTATGGGTTTGCACGTAAAAACTCTGGTGGCTCTTATAAACGTTGCGCCACTCACTTTTATCTGATTATGTGTTGGATCTTCATACAAAGAGAAGACGTTAAATTTTATATTCTCTACAGCCGCTAATACTCCAAGATGCAACAAGTATGTATTTGCAGCCATTGAGATAATACACATATGTTATATGTGTCTTCAAATGATCTTATGAGCATAAATGTATATTCATTCTCTTGTGCTAAAATGAAACATAAAAGAATCTCAAGGAAGGATAAATGGATTTGGTCCTAAGGAATCTCTCAGTTGTGAGTAGGTTTCTTTCACATAAAATATAACCAATGATTTTAGGCCAATTAGGCTTATAAATTATATTTATAGTCAAATCTGGCTTTTTTACAGTAATATTGAATGTTTAACTACTTCTTCGTCGTTCCTCTTGTTTATTTGTGTATCTTTATGGGAAGACCAATTTTGGTCTACCCATTGAAGCCTTTAATCTTAAAATATGTAAGTATTCAACATTATAAAGATAACCAATTCAATTCTTGATTCTCTATTTGGTGGAGCTTGTATGGTTAATTACTATTGAATATTTATGACTTATAGTTATAATCTGGTATATGCTTTGGTATATCATTTGAATGATTGTTTGCATTGCTTATCCTAATAAAGTCATGTTTTAGATGTTTTGTAATGATATTTTGTTGGTTTGAATATAATTGTAGATTAATTAAACCCATCAGCTAATCATTTCCAATTTTAACAGGCAAAAACCGCTCCATTGAAGGATGCTAATCTATCAGATATCTGCATTGGAACTTCAGCTGCACCTACTTACTTGCCTGCTCACTATTTTGAAACTAAGGACTCAAATGGCAATACTCGAAGCTTCAATCTCATTGATGGTGGACTTGCAGCAAATAATCCAGTAAGTTTATTTCTCACCAGTTCAAAGAAAAATATATAAAACTATATAAATTTGTATAAATATATATATATATATATATATATATATATATATATATATTATTTATAAGCCCAAACATTTATGCAGATGCATGATTCAGGAATTGCTAGACTTTAGTGTAATAGGATGATAAAATAATATTGCCATACTTGTGCATGGACAACCTAATGTGAAACTCATGAGGTTACAACAAAGAATTCTGCCAACCTCCCAATTTTATGATAACAAAACAATTTTGTGGACAGCTCAATGAACATCTTAACGAAATAAATGCTAAATGGTGATCATGGAATATTTAGTAATCCAACCCTTTCTCCTTCAGCAGCCATGGTCAATGCCAACACTGAGAGTATGTCTGCTAGGTACTTCTGCAATACAACAAACTCAGCAAGCAATGAGAATATTATCAATAATGAAAGATAGCATAAGGCACAGTTGCCCATAAAATTTTTAAAACCTTTAGGTCAGAATCAATCATTGTTTCAAAGTACGCCTTCAATTTTCCATAATGTGGACGAAGAAACTTCAGAGGCTTAGGAACAGATGTCATTGAGCTTGTTGCTGACCGAATTTCTTGTCTACGAACAAAAGGAAAGGAAAAAATAAAAGAACGGCGCCAACTAGTTAAAAGAGGATTCAACGAGAATGGACAAGATTCCAAACTTCCACGATAAACTAAAATCCAAATACGGCATTGGAAATTATTTCTTCTGAGTTATATACTAGTCTAACTGTAAATAAGACTAACGCCCTGTATCAACCCAATAAAATACCTCATGCTCTCTAGTGCGAGCCTCTGAACGCCGGGATTTTCATCCTGCACGCGTTCGACATACAGCTCCAGCTGCTGCTTCAGAGCCAGGTCCTCATCAGACTGAACAGCTCAGAACAACGTCAGTGTTAGCATCGATTAAAGCAAATCGGAGCCGACGATTCTTACTTGCGCTAGGCGCAACGTCAAGAAAAAAAAAATTTATGGAATTAGAAAAAGGATTAGCCAAGGGAGTCACCAGATCTTCATCCTTCTTATCTTCCTTCTTCTTCTTTAGATCCTTAGGCGGGGGTTTTGATGCCTGCTCCGGAGCAGTGGAGCTGCTAGGGTTTTGATCGGCGGTCATGGCTTTGCAGAGTCACAATTGATCTACCAAAGAAGAAATTATTGAGATGATAGACAGGCCCGAGTGAGCGGAAATAAAATCTAACAAGCAGCTGAGCGGCGAGGGGCTGTACCACAGTAATCAAAGAGAGATTAGAGAGAGCGGGGCTGGGAAGGCGAAGAAAGGACTGGGTAAATGATACGGAGTAGGGGTTGTCAAATAGTTTTTTTTTTTTTTTTTTTTAAAGAGGTGTCAAATAGTGTCCATCTTCGGATACAACCCCATTTTGATTTGATTGGGATCCATTTTGGTTAGGATCAACCCGACCCAACTCATAAGCAATCGACTCGATGTGAGTTGCTAGTTTAGACTTTGGACCTCTGTTCGTTCGAAAGTAACCGTGACGATAGGAGCTTGCTTGTTCAGTCAAATCCCGTAAACCCATCGAAAGCTTTCTTCTGTTTGCACATTTATTTAGCCAAATCCCAGAAATCCGTGACGGGAGCTTGCTTATTCAACCAATTCCTGTAAAATCCGTCGACGGCAAATGGAGTTTCTTTCATTCGCGCACTTATTCAACCAAATCCGTCAATGGCGACGACAACCATTCTGTCTACAGGAGTTTCTTGTACTTTATATACCCAAGTACTGTTGTAATACATGTATTTTTGGATGATATATAGAAAAATCATTTTTGAGATTTTAGACTTTCACTTTATATTGTATTCAGTAATAGCTTTGTGTTATATAAATTGAAAGTTTAATTTTTCTCAGCACTTCTTCAATTGAAACTTAGGATCAATTTTTTGTTCGTGTCATGATCGGGCACGATATGACCTTTTTTTTTTTTTTGGCACGATACAACCTATGTGATATCGGATCATATCAAGTTAGGTCATGACAACTATTTTATATTTTATGCAATAAAGGTAGAATTATAAGAGTGTGCACACACATACGTAATTTCTCCATCTATGTGTATGATATGCCTAAAGAACATGTGAATATTGAATTCTTTAGTAGATCTCGCATAGTTTAGTGAGCATGAGTTGCTCATTATTGTTACTTACATGTCATTTTAGAACAGGGTAGACCCCAACTTAGTTAAAAAAAGGTTGATAAAGTTAAAGTTCATATTGGAGGTATATTTATATTTAGAGATATATTCTCTTGACAATCCAATTATTTATTTATATACGTGAGTTGATATGAGAGAAATTATACTAAATTGTTGTAACTCTTTTGATGACATGAATTAAATAAGTGAATGTAATAACATGATTTATTATCTAAGATTTATTTTAAAGAGATTTTTTTCTTTAATATTTATAAACACAAAGCTTTTCATTCACACAACTAAACTACAAAATAAAAAGTGGCAAAAATAATAATCATGATAAAATTTCTCTCAACAAATCTATCCATAATAGATCGATAATAATAGACATAGCTTATATGATTGTCGTAATAGAAACCACCAACTTCTACTCAACCTGGGTCTTACCCCTCCCTATAATAACATACATGGGTAAAGTATGGGCGAGCAACTAGAATTAAGTAGGCTACTTGAAACATATTATAATATTCAATACAAGAAAGGAAAAAAAGCAACATATATGCCAACGTAATATCACATGAAAGTAAAAACATGATTTGAGTAAACAAACATGATACATCAACATACCACGTGTCACCCACCATGGCTTAGCTCATGTGGGGGGAGCTCGACTGGGCAAAGCCCAGGTCCCGGGCTCGAATCCCATGGGTGGCCATAACAGCCTTAAGTGTTGGCCCGAGTAAATTGGTGTGGATTGCCTGCTAGGCCGACCGGGGTTTACTCACCGCTTTGCGAAGTGGTTCCTCGTCAAAAAAAAAATCACGTTTCACATCTGTCAAGCAGATAGTTAATAGTAAAACTATGACTAACAACATATATGTGTCAAAATTAACAGGAAGCATATGTGTCAAAAGCATTAGTAATAAGCATTTCCATTAATATGATATCAGGAATACAAAAGTATAATAAGAAATACTAATTTTTTATTTTAAATATTTCATAATATTCTTTACACCCTTATACCGCCGGTTATTCATATTTCATATTTACCTCTTATACCTTCACTTGTTTACATATGTTCAAATATATTGTACACATAAACGAATAATTATATAATCGCAAAGGCCATTGTACCTTCACTTTAATGTAGATAAAATATAGCTAACCAACCACTTGTATTTTCCTTCTTTTTTTTCATTAGACATCTATTTCAAAAACACGGCAAAAAAAATATCAAAAATTTTGACATATAACAATATTAGTTAACATGTTAAAAAAGTTTATAAAAATTTTCTATGTATGATTTAAGGGGAGTAAATTAGTTTACAAAAGTCAACAGTTATACATCACAAGCTTATTTATATGCTACATCCACAACATCTAAAATCACTTATTTTCTATAAGAATTTCTATTGGATTCTATACATTAACTAAAATATATAATATGGTTCACTAAATAGACACCAAAAGATTAAAAAAATCAGCTTTTACAAAGGTGTGCTAATTTCTTAAGGAACACAAGTCACATGCCAATATGATTTTCATATTTGCATTCTTACAATGCTCATTAAAATAGGTAAAAATATATAAAATATAGTTGAAATGCTCTAAAATATGATGAAGATGGTTTATAAATTGAACATAAAAGAAATCGAAAAATTTAATTGAATACACTAAGGTCGAGATCAAAACATCATAATTCTCTCTTAACTAAACCCATGATAACAAATGGCAAATAATTCATGTAGGTGATTTGATTGTTAACTAGCTTTCATTGGAATAGCAAAAAACAAGTTAATGTCATCATTCAACAACAAATTATAGCACAAACAATCAAAATGCATCAATTTCTTCCATTGCCCCTTTTAAAGTCAAGGATTCGTTTGAGACAACTTTCTTAATTATTTCTAAAACAGCTTTTTAATATAAAATTTCTAATTCAAAAAATTTTTTGTATTAAAAAGTAGCTTTTAAAAGTAGTATGAAAGTTGTCCCAAACAAACATAAAAATCAACATGCCCTTAATTTTCTCCTTATTTACTAGTCATGTCACTCCCAAAAAATTATAAATAAACCCCCTTATTTTTCATTAAGGGGGACCAAGAAGGAAGAGAGGAAAAGAGGAAAAATTAGAGTTCTCTTACCACCAGACTCTTCCTCTCCTACCACCCGGCTAGGGCTGTCAATATTGGACCCGACCCGAAAACCTGACTTGAACCCAAAGCGGGTCGGGTTCGGGTTGACCTGGAAACCCGAGAATGACCCGAAAAATGGCTGCCCATCATTGCCTGCCCCGGCTGCCCTGTTTGCCCGCTGCCCCGTGTTGCGGATCTATGGCTTATGATTTTGATGATAGCAAATATTCTTTTTCTCTACGACTGCCTTATCTACTGACATTTTAGGTACACACGATTAGACTATAATTTGGAATCAACTCAAGATTTGGTAGACTAGGTCTGAGTCAATTTTTACACTTTTTCCTTTCTTGAGTCTATTGTATTTGGTGTGGCTCCTGATGCTTTGTAACTTGAAAGATTTTCTGATTGTTCCCTAGAGTTTATTGTTTTTGGTAACATCGTCCGGGACGATATTTATATCGGCCTGGATGATCTGTTCAAAAATAGAAACCCTAATTAGGGCATCCTCATTAAGGCAGCCGTCATATATTAATCGGCCTGGACGATACCTATATCGGCCAGGACGATAAGCTCAATTCAGAAACAATCAACCGCCATAATCAGATTAGGTATTCTTTATTTTAGGAAATCGGCCATGACGATATACACATCGTCCAGGACGATCTAACTCAATTATGTCTAATTTGATCTGGTATCTTTGAAAAGCATTAATGGCTGATTGATACGATCACATCGTCCGGGATGATCGTAGGATCGGCCGGGACGATGTCCTAGACGATTTACAACGGCCAGCATTGATTCCGAACGATGATAAGGATGTTTGAAATCGGTTTTAAACTAATCGTCCGGGACGATTGTGAGATCGGTCAGGACGATGTAACTAATTTTCTTCTGATCGTCCCAAATCGTCCCGGGCTGATGAGCTTAATTTGTATTAATCGTACAAGATGATATTGATATCGTCCTGGACGATAATGTCGGTAACTTGCATTAATGAGCTCGTTTTTAGCTCTTCTATTTAAGCTATGACAAGGTGTAAGTGTCCTTGGCAGCCATTATAGCTTCGTTCTTGTGGGGGAAACTTAAAGAGAAAGCTTGAAAGGGAGTGAGGAACTAGTGAAGTCTGAGAGAGGGAGAAGATCCTGTGAGGGGGGACTCAAGGGAGTGTGGAGGGGGATTCCACACGATTGCTCTGGCAGGCTTTCACCTTAATACCGTCGGATTCAAGGCTTGTCTCGAGGGAAGTTCACCAAAGAAGAAGATCTCTTTGGTGTCAAAGGACTCGGCGACTCTGCCGCACCGGGGGAAGGTGGAAGTGATTTTGTAAGGGCTTCTCCGCCTAGCTGTGGGGGCTAAATGAGAGACACTTATTTAATGCAATACTTGGAAGGTGCCTCCAAGGAGTGGACGTAGGTCAAGATTTGACCGAACCACTATAAATCTGGTGTGTTTTTCTTATTATTTCTTCCGCATTTAATTTCCGCATCGTTGATTTCTCTGTGGTGATTTTGGTTTGAGTTTTATCGTTGGTTTTAAAGTTATGCAATTCACCTCTTTCTTTGTTAGCCTTGGGCTAGTTCATAAGGGCTTAACATCCATAACGGACTTTCAAGTGGTATTAGAGCACTTTCTAGTGTCATATGAGCACTTTCAAGTGGTATCAGAGCGGGATTCATAAAATAAGTTTTTGAAAGCTTTTGAATTTTTGATCCATGGCTAATTTTTGTAATCATAATATTGCGGAAGGTTATTCAATCACCAGACCACCTTTATTTGAAAATATTACATTTGATTTTTGGAAAATTCGTATGTCTATTTTTTTGCAATTAATTGATTTTCGCATATGGCATATGATTTTAACTGGTTATTCATTACCGTCACGTATTTTAGATGGAATTAAAACTGACATTCCTTTTAGTCAATGGAATAGAGATGAACGAATCGATGCTCAATTGAATGCAAAATCTTTAAATTTCTTTTTCTGTGCTTTAAATTCT